GTATTCGAATCCATGCTTTTAAAACAGGGCAGCTACAAGCAATATTGGTGTGTTATAGTTTGAGAGTCCATCACTTGCATCACTTGGGGGGAATTTGTGTTCTTTATCTGCCAAAGTTTAAACCAGTAAAATACAGTTTCTAAACAAATGTGCATTGCAGCGGACATATGCCTTTCTGCCCTAATAAATAATGTAAACTTTCCTGAAGGTTCAGCGGCAAAGATCTTAATGATGAGGGAAACAGGCAGAATATGGACAGGTTTGAGACCGACCAAAAGATTAGGTGTGAAGGTGATGTGAAAGTGAAGAATGCAAAGATTAGTCAGATAGAAATCTATAATAGGCAGGAGAAAATAATGGATAAAATTGGACACTAAGGGGACAGTCCTATGATAAGACCCCACAGAACTACCAGTTTAGGCTGCTGTCTGGCTCAGCTGACTGGTGCCTGGCTCAGCCAAGCTCAGCTTCTGTTAAATCCCCAACCCTGGCTGAGCCAAATATACTTGCTCTGCCCCAAGAGACTGGATTCTAAGCCCACTCTGCTTGGTCATGTGACCTGGCAACCTGACAAGGAACACTATTTAAAATGCTTGTTTCCCCTCTGCCGGGCTTAGGTAAAGCAGGAACAGCAGCCCTGCTGGATCTGGTGTAACTATACTGGCTTAATTTACACTGACTTGTTTTATGCCAGCTTCTTAAGCATAAGATTGCTCCCTTGCTAAATGGCAATTACTATCCAGAAATCACTTCTACGCAATAAAAATCATACACCCCATGAATAATACCAGGCAGTCTGTATTCACTTTGCCATTTTCTATACATAATTTAAATTTGATGTAAACATTTCTTATATCCTCCCCATGTATTCCATGTTTAGCACAATGAAATGCAGAGTTGTTAGCAATCAACTGAACACAATCCAGACATCTTCCCTCAATGTGGTACTTCTGTTTGGGTTTTAGTGCATTTTCAAAACACTGGGTTCACTGTATTTCATAGCTAGAAAAATGCAATTATTTCTCCAAGTAGTGCTTTACTACAGTGATAGCTGTGCGAAATGTGTCTCTGGAGGGTCAGAGTCACTTATTGACTATTTTCTGTAATGTGTGATGGATGATGAGTGACAGAAATGAAGTGTATTTATTATTGTGCATCTGCCAGTGTCCATCTGCAACCCTCCTTCCAACTTTGTGAAGCTTTTGTTTTTCATGTATTTGAAGTCTGTGCATTCCTGTTTTCAGTGCTTATCATATGTTATTTTTGTTTTATTTTTTTAAAAAACCATACAATCATATGTCAATTTCATTACTGAATCCACCATACTTATCCATTGCATGAGGGCAGGATATTGCTTTATTTCACTTCAAATATGCACTGATGTTGGGACAGTCACAGGGAGGCATATATTTACTGATCATCATCTTAAATTCAAGCAAGATTCTTCTCCTTGAAGGGCAATGGTTTCTCAGTGTTCTGTCCCGCACATGCAACATACCCAAAGCATACCAGAATTTTCAATTCTAATATGGGGGAGAGGATTGGCCTGAAAGATTTTACATCTCCCTCTTATTATACATATATTGCACATTTTCAATGTTCGAATAAATCCTTTTATCAGTTTATGCATCTTCCCTACAAAAAACCTCACAGGCTTTTTGTTCATATTCCATCATGTCAAGATTCTTGAAATGAGACTCATTTCAGTCCTGAGTGCTCACTGGAAGGAGAGATCCTGTAGCTAAGGCTCCTATACTTTGGCCACCTCATGAGAAGAGAAGACTCCCTGGAAAAAACCCTGATGCTGGGAAAGATTGAGGGCACAAGGAGAAGAGGACAACAGAGGACGAGATGGTTGGACAGTGTTCTTGAAGCTACCAGCATGAGTTTGACCAAGGTACAGGAGGCAGTGGAAGACAGGAGTGCCTGGCGTGCTCTGGTCCATGGGGCCATGAAGAGTCGGACACGACTAAACGACTAAACAACTAAACAACAAGAACAACATTTTCTTGTAAAATGTACTTTAAAGGCAGCTATAGTGTCCTGCTGTTTGCATAGATGAACAGCTACTATGTGGGAAAGAATGTTGAAAATGTGAATAGCTTTTCAAGTTGGGGTAATGGTAAATTCTGAAGTGTAAGCACTCTTCCTAGCTAGCCCCATCCCAGCCCCATACCTGTACCCCTTTAAAGGCTATGCCAAGGCAGACATTATGGCTCTGATATTGAGCTGGCTCTCCCCTCCCACTTTACTTAACATCCAGCCACATGAAGAGTTGCAACAGACTGAAAAAACTTGCTCACTATTTTGCGGCATTTTGGTTGTTCATAATAAACAGATTTAGGAATTTGCAGAAACAAAAGTGGCAATTTAACAATTAGCAATCCACGTTAATGCAACTTGCCTCTCCTGCTTAGGAGAAAGGCTGGTTCATTTGGCAACCAGCAATCTAGGAGAATACACCATTGTCCTTGCTGTGCCATAAGCACCAGCTCTTTGTTCCTTCCTGTCCCTGCTTTGTACTGATTATTTAGGTTCATGTACCTTTAAAAACACATCCAAGAACTTCTAGGAGAACAGAGATGCTAATCAAATATATATTATATGCAGAAGTAAGCCCCACTGTGTTCAATCCATACTAGGACATCTCTTTATTCGGACCAACTAAAATGTCACAAAGTAGCAAGCTTTTGAGTTCTTCAGCATTATTCAACAAATAAATTATTATTATTATTATTATTATTATTATTATTATTGATGATGATGATATATGTATACCCCACCCATCTGGCTGGGTTTCCCCAGCCACTCTGGGCAGCTCCCAACAGAATATTAAAAAGAAGGTAAAACATCAAATATTTAAAACTTTCCTAAGCAGGGCTGCCTTCAGATGTCTTCTAAAAGTCAGATAGTTGTTTATTTCCTTGACATCTGATGGGAGGGCATTCCACAGGGCAGGCATATAGCTACTGAGAAGGCCCTCTGCCTGTTGAAAGCTATGCTCAGGGATGCATTTTAAAGAGAGAAATGAGAGGCAGGCACAATTGTGTGTGTTGAGCTTAGGACTTTGTTGCTGGTTTGGTGTGGTCTAGTGAAGCATCTTGAAGAACAAACTTCTTTAAGAACAGTAAGTTTAGAAACCTAAATGAGAAAAGATGGCAACAGTGAAAAATGTAGCCAGCAGGGGGTGCTAGTGAACAGCAACACCCATAGCAGTGCTTGGGTAAACCATTTCATACATAAGCCTTAAATTAATTCATCACCACTGAGAATCTTTCACAGAATCATAGAATTGTAAGGGACCCTAAGGGTCACCTAGTCCAAACCCCAGCAATGCAGGAATCTCAACACACAGTCCCCCACCCCATTCAGTTTGAAACCATACCAGTCCCTGCTTAGCTTTGCACATGTGCAAGCAGTTTTATTGCTGCACCACTAGGAACTCCTCATCAGGAGAGGCAATTGCTATCCAAAGAGAGGGCAGGCTTTACATTCGCTTTGCAGACCAATTAACCAGGAGTCCCTTTAAACCCTCAAGTTGTGAAAAACTAGTAGCTCATTCCAGAGCCGTAGCTACACAGGGGGGGGGGCAGCTGGAGTTTTTTGCCCCGGCGAAGGCTCCAGAAGAGCGCCAGTGAGGGTCCCAGCCTGTGTATGTGTGTACACAAATGTGTGTGGGTGTGGGTGCCAAATTGGGTCTTTGACCTGGGTGAAATAAAGCCTAGTTTTGCCCCTGGCTCATTCACGACTTACTGAGTCTGAGAGTGTGCCACAACTCCATTTTAGTCTTGACTGGTTTCCAAAGCAATAGACCAGAGCTAACAGATAGGGATTGTCCTGTGCTTGCCTGCTGATGACTGAAAAAAGAATTGTGGTTGGCATTTCTAAAACTGGAACACTTTTAGATCCCCAGGGGAAATATAAGTTGATACATAAGCCTTAAATTAATTCATCACCACTGAGAATCTTTCACAGAATCACAAAATTGATGAATCTGTGCACTGCCTACAAAGAATGAAAAAGGAGAGGTATTGGATACAACCCTCAATAGCTACACTACAGCTCTTGCGTTCAGTATTAAGCCAAACCTTTAAAGAAGATAAAAACAAAAACGTAAAGCATATTCGATGTCATGAAGGTAGTGATTTAAGATACTGTCATGCTACAGAGAAGGGAAAATGGAGTGGAAATGCTTAGTCGGATTTCTAGAGTAAGAAACGTTTTTAACAGGTCTGTTCCTCCGCAGCCAACAGGAGACATGAATCAGATGAAGGTATGCAAATAGCCTCAGGAGAAATGCTTTGCCCATTTTGTTTCTAAAAGTCACAGGATCCTTTTCAGTGTGAAAAGGTTTGTCACAAACTGGGAACTGTAGAGATCGATGAATGACACCTGTCGAACACTCCATGTGCAAAGTAGCCAATTTTGACAGGTGGTCTCCCCCTCCCCCCGCAGTAGTCATATGTGACATTGCAAGGCCCCTTGGGGCCTCTTCTCATACAAATAAGGATGCTGCAGAAGCTTCAGAGGGAGAGAAATCCAATGCAGATTTCCCATTCACACTGGGCGATGTCAGAAGTGAGTCACACCCGGTGAGCTCAACAGTCTTAAACCCGCTGATTCCAAGTTAGTCTGCTCTGACTATGACTAACTTCTAATATTGTATTTTAATTTTACATTGCTGTAGCCCTTACGAATAATAATAATAGTAAATAATGTATGCTCCCTGAGCAGCTTAGAGGAAGAGCAAAATACAAACGCAAGGAATAAAATCCAGACGGAGTTCTGGGTGGGATTCTGTGGCGGCTTTTGCCTCCTCTGGCTGGCTAAATAGAAGCGCCCTTTCTGCTACCTCGAGAGGCAAAGCGAGGAGGAGGAGGCACAGCGCGCGCTTTCGGACCGGCCGGGTTTCCCCGCAGCATTTCCCCTTCCCGCCCCGCACATCCCCAGAACAGCGGGCTGCTCAAGCCCGGAAATCCCGAGGAAGCGGAGAAGCTGTTGCTTCGGCTGGATTTCCGTCCCCGTCGCGCGCCAGGGGCAGGAGCCGGGGAGAAAAGGCTACCCGGGTCTCGCGGCCAGCGATGTCGCGAGCGGCGCCTCAGGCAGCCTGAGGGAGGAGCCGGAGGAGGAGCTTGAGGGGGGCGCGGGGGAAGCGGGAGAAAAAGCGCCAGCCTAGCAGTCCCCGCGCAGTCAGGCAGCGGCTGCCTCCGAGCCGAGCGAAGCCCCGCTCGCCCTGCGCGCCCTGAGGGATGAAAGTCGGGAACGAGGGGCGCAGTCCAGAGGTCCGCTCCTGCGAAGAAGACGACGACGACGAGGAGGAGGCGAGAGAAGAGTCCCCTCTCAGAGGGTCTCTCTCGGAAAGGGAGCTCTAGCTGACCGCATGGGCTGGTGAGCGGACCGCCAGAGAGGGCAAGCGCCGCTTCCCGCCTTTTAAGTTTGCCACTGCTGAGCGGGCAGGAGAGGGACACGCTCGCCAGCGCATGAGGGGAACCGTCCCGGGGACTCGTGCCATTTCCACGCAAGGTTGTCTCCCCTGCCCCCCTTGTTCCCTGGGAACAAGAAGGGGCTGGGCTTAGTCCTTGCGAGGTGGAGGAGAGGAAGAGAGAAAAGCCCCTTTCTGAAGAGAAAAGGTTTTCTGTGGGAGGGAAGAGACGGGGCTGCTTCGCTTGCCTGTTGCTTTGTGGAGTTTCGCTTTCCTAGACTGCCCCGAGCATGGAGCCCCAGCCGCCCGCCCCCACCTCCCTCTACCACATGAACCACACCTGGGGCTTGTCCTGGCTGGACTCGAATGCCTCCAGGTCGGCTCCCGAGCGCCCCCTGGAGGAGGGGAGGGCCAGTTTCCTCTTCGAAATTGGCATCGAAAACTTCATGACCTTGATAGTCTTTGGCCTCATCTTCATCCTGGGTGTGGTGGGCAACTCCTTGGTCATCACCGTGCTGGCCAGGAGCAAGCCGGGCAAGCCCCGCAGCACCACCAACATCTTTGTCCTCAACCTGAGCATTGCCGACTTGGCCTATTTGCTCTTCTGCATCCCTTTCCAGTCCACAGTGTACATGTCGCCCAGCTGGGTGCTGGGCACCTTCATCTGCAAGTTCATCCACTACTTCTTCACTGTCTCCATGCTGGTCAGCATTTTCACGCTCTCGGCAATGTCTGTGGACCGCTATGTGGCCATTGTGCATTCCCGGCGCTCCTCGTCCCTGCGAGTGTCCCGCAACGCGCTGCTGGGCGTCGGGGTCATTTGGCTGCTCTCGATTGCCATGGCCTCGCCTGTGGCTCACCACCAGCGTATCGTTCACCATGAAATCATCAACCAGACTTTCTGCTGGGAAGTATGGCCCAATCTTCATCACAAGAAAGTCTACGTGATCTGCACTTTTGTCTTTGGGTACCTGCTACCACTGCTGCTCATCTCCTTTTGCTATGCGAAGGTGAGTGCAGGTGAATTAGCACAAGTCATGCCATAGATGTGTGTGAGAGGCAGCCATTCCCAAAGTATATAGGGAAAGCAGCCTTGGAGAACAATGACTTACACAGCAGACTGCACAGTGGTAAAAAAAAGCTTGGACTAAAATGAATGTTTAGTGTGCAATGAATGTTTAGTGTGACATTACTGTGCATAATCTGTGTTGGCTACAGATATAATTGCACGATGTTTAACATACACTAAAAGGTTAAAGGTTGCATTTGCAAGGACTTTATTGACCATGAGGCAGTAGTTCATGTGCATAGAGGCTTAATTAAGTTATATATGGTGTAGTTTTGGTAAGTCAAAGTTGAAAAGTGTCTGGAATGGTTGCACACCAGATAAATTCCAGATGGTAAGGGCGGGGGGTGATCTCTTTATGATATTATAAACTTTAGACTAGTAACTAGAGATATATTTCAGAGGTTACAATAAGTGTAACTTCCCATTTCAAACACATAGTACTCAGCCACATTGTATTGAAACTGACTCAAGGCAGAGCCATACAACCTCGTTATATGGCTTCCATATGAACTAAATTGCAGCTGCTTCAAAGATAGGGCAAATTACAGTTCTTACCGTACCCTGTGTCAAAAATAGAGAGGCCCTGATCCAGATAACTTTGCAAGCGGCAACAGGCTGTGTGAATGAATGCTGCTTCATATTGCAGTCTTTTGCTTTAAAAATCTCAGTGTGAATGACTTTCTGAGGGGAAAAAAATAGGGGTTTCCTAAAATCTGTTCCTGCACAAAGGCACTTCCAGGTGGTGGTTGCACAGTTCCTATCCATAAGGCAATCTGTGAATTAAAGTGTAATCTCTTTTGATAGATATCAGTGGAAGTTTTGCTTCTGAGATGAAGGGTTCATCCTGACTATCTGATTGAGATAAAAAGAATCAATAGAAATGCTAGAACTAGACGGGACTAAGACATCAAATTACAATTGATTTGAAACTCCACATTCTCTTCATTCTGACAACACAGTGTTTTTGCTTGGATTTATAATCTGGAGGCTTGGATAGCTTAGTTGGTTGAGAAGGAGGCTCTTAATCTCAAGGTCCTGGGTTCAATCCCCATGTTGGGTAAAAGATTCCTGCATTGCAGGGGATTGGATTTAGATGGTCCTCATGGTCTCTTCCAGATCTACAATTCTATGGTTCTGAGTTGTCTTAATACAAAATGGCAATCCATTCATCATACAACATTTATAATTAATTGTTACCATTAGCCATAGTTTCACTGTTGTAAATGGTAACAAATTTTGAAACCAGTTTTTAGTTAGAAAGACTTTGTATTTAGCCCAGAATCCCAGTACTTCCAATATTTCCAGTACATCAGAATCCTTGAATACTATATGCATGCACTGATTTACTAGTTTTATTAAGCAGAAAACAGATAACAGGAATGCAAACCATCACTTTTCAGAATGCCTACTAGTTAATTTATTATGTGATCTATATGAGGCTGTTGGCAGCACTCATTAGGAGTTTTAGAGCAAGGTGTCATGATGAAATGCTGCTCTACTTCTCCGTAACATCAGGAGAGAATGTGAAAACTCTGGATTGGTATCAGTGCAGTGGTGAACTGGATGAGGGCCAATAAATTGCGTGAATCCTCAAAAGACAGAGGCTGTTTGGGTGGTGGTTTCTGTGTCCAGGATACAGGGAATTATTTGTTCTTGATGGGGTCACACTGCCTCTGAAGGAGCAAGTGCATAGCTTGGGAATATTCCTGGATACCATCATTAGATGTCTGAGTGTCCTCTGCGGCCATGGAGTTCTTCTTATCAGCTCTACGTGGTTCACTAGCTATAGCTGTTCTTGGAAAGGGATAACCTGACTACTGTAGTCCATGCTTTGGTAACCTTGAGGCTGGATTACTGTAATGTGCTCTATGTGGGGCTGCTCTTGAACCTGATTTGGAAGCTCCAGCTGCCACAGAGTTTGGTGGCCAGACTGCTGATGGCAATGCATAATCTCAGTCCCTGAGATCATCTGCTGTAGTATCATTGGTTGTTATCCAAGCTGGTAAGGCTCATTTGACATCAACACAAAAAAGAGCTTTCTTTCATCAGTTCTATCTTGTGGAATGTACTTCCAATATAGATTCAGCAGATGCCTTCTGTTTCAATTTTTAAAAGCCTGCTGAAACCTTTTCTGTTTTGCCAGGCTTATGCAGGCAGATAAGAATGCATCTTTCCATAATAGTTAGCTGATTAGCTCTTATTTTATTTTTTAATGTGCTTTTATTATATGTAGATATTAAAATGCCTTGATGTTTTATTATATAGTAGTATATAAATATTTTGTTATAAATAAATAGTTTTTGTAAGGGAAATGTCTCCATATTCAATAACAAAAGTGGCAGGGTAAAATGATTAAAACCATTGTTAGGCTGCTTTGATAGTATAGGACACATTAATTGTCAGAGTAAAAATGTGACATTAGCCACATTCAGGCATTTTCCCACATATAATGCCTGCACATAGAGAGAAAGGGGCAATGAGAGTGCATTGCTGATCTTGTTCTGGATAGCATGCCTCTTGGACATCTGTGCATTGGTGAAGACACTGTAGCTGATATGGAGAATTTTTCTATGCTGACATCTGTGTGGACGTCCAGGGAGCTGATTGCGAATGGAGCCAGTAGCCTGCTGCCTCCTTCTGTATGTTCTTCGACAGACAGAAGTGACTCCCAAGTTTGGACAGAGCTGCTATTCTAGTTTCCTGGTGGGTCATTCACTGTGGCTTACTGCTCTGGTGAGGCAGTAGGGAGAGTGGCTTGGTGAAAATGCACCTGCAGAAGTAGCAGATTGGCTCTGCTGGTGCACTTTCACTGTACCAACCCCACTATTGATAAGCAACATCGACTCACTTGCCAGAAAACTAATGTGGCCCCCTTCCCCAACCTGGCTTGCCATTGCTGATGAATAGTGAGGTGGTTTGAGTATTGAACCTGGGAGACCACATGGCCATGAAATTCCCTGCGTGACCTAGGGCCAGTCACAGGATGGTGTAAGGATGAAATAGGGAAGGTAGAACCATCTATACCACATTATTAGAAATGTAATAATGAGTAATAATAGCTAAATATATCAAAAATGCCTTAATGGGGCTAACGGCTCTTCTGATCTTGGTCGCACCTTATATGTTGCAATGTCAAGAGAGGGAGAGTTTAATCATGTGCTTATTTAAACAGTGTTTGGTGAAGCAGTTGTAGGTGAAATCACTGGTGGCTGCTTCAGGAATTGGGGACGAGTGGCATTCTTGCCTGTACCTTTAAGTTGTGGGGGGATGGAGTGAAGGAAGTGAATGGTTGCTGACTGAATAGTCACCACTGGTCCAGCTATTCATGAAGTAACTGTGTGCTTGTATGGTGGAAACTGAGATTCTCTCTTGCCTCAACAGTCCTCTCCCAGTGCTAAAATAAATGCAGGAACCAGCTACCTCTACCCCTGATTGCCACCAACTGCCTGCTGACACTTTTGCCCAGCAAACTCCCGAAGTGGCTGTCACCATTCTTAAATCCCCCCTCCCCAACTGCTCACTCAGGATGAGTACAAACGTTAAAAGTACTACAGTAATGGAAGACATGCATCACAATGGGCTTCCTCCCTCTGGAAACCTACCATTTAAAAGCAACCCTCTGCTCTCATTTTGTCAATCAAATTCTTGTCCAAATAGAAACATCTCACAAAAGTTCAACAGAGCAGCTGCTACATTATTGTCACACAACCTTGGTACAGCCCACAGAATTACTAAAGCATAATGAGTTACAATACCTCAGTGTAGTGGTTGTTATTCCTAGTCTTAGTTTAATTGTTGGCATAAGATATCCCAAAGTTGGCTGTGTGTATAATTGCTTATATCACAGCTGCATAATTACAGCCTCAGGAGTTATTAGGGTACAAATGAAAACACACACTAAATAAAATCACTTCTAGCCTGTTGCCTTCTCAAGGGGCAAAGGGTTCTTTTTGGATTCTAGTGGCAATAAACAAAACAGGAACTTTGTACTTAAACAGGGATTGTTTGCTAGAAAAAAATAGAAAGCAAACCATAGAAAATACCAGATATCTCAGGGCCCTGTGAGTTGCCGCAGGACAGCAGCACACCCTCCCACTCCTTCAGTCTACAGCTGGCACTGGGATCTCCGACTAAGCAGGGGCATGACTGAGTTTATATACTTTTAATGTTTCAAGCTGAAGTCACCAAAACTTTTCCACTCTTCTGGTTGTTGACTTCAATGCCTGCTGGTGACTTCAACGGCCTGGTTAGTAGCTAAGGGCGAAGGCTTATTACTCCTGTGCCTAACCTCCTGCCTTGTTGCAGCTGTGCTGCTTCTCTGCCTTCCAGATGTGGAAGTTGCTGCCAGATATCAAGGGAGAGGGGCCAGGCAGCAGAAGAGTCGGTGTGGGCCAGTGTTCCTGCCATTGTGCCCATACCACATCAATGTCCCTGCCATCTTGCTCCTCCTTTTCCTCTCCCTCTCAGTATTGGATCACTGCATTGGATCACTGCCAAGTAAGCAGGAATTAATTCACCCAATGAGAACCCCCCCCAAAAAAAGCCCCTCATGTTTTTGCCCCACCTCTTTATAGATGGAGCGATTCAATAAATGCTGGGGCATATCAATTACATTCTCCCTGTAAATACAATGCCTCTGGTTATATGGAATATTTTAAAATCAAATAATCAAATCTATAATCTCCATAGCAAAAAAAATATTGCACAATGATCTTAAACAGGCCAATGTTTACTAGATTACTGTAATTTTTGTTAGCTTTTTTGGTCGTAACACCACTGATACATCCAGCCCAATGGGATTCTTCCCATAAGGTTAATGGCATCAATAAATTTGACTGATTTGGGTCTCTATCACACTCATTTGTTTCTAAAAAGTTTGGGTGGAGGATGCTGTGCTCATTAGAGTGGGAGCTTTCTGACAAATAAATTACCTCCTCTGTCACCTGTTCTGTAACAGATATGTGATTAGCTATTTTCAGACTATAGCCATCTAAAATATTTTTTTCAAGCAGTTCATTAAGGCCTCTTGGGAGAAAAGCTTTGTGAACTTTTCTGCTGTTGTTAAACTTTAGACATTAAAGTTTATTGCATTTTTCATGCATCTTAATCCAGATAATGTCTGGGATATGTCCCTGAAATACTACGCTCCTTCAGCTCCTATAAAAAACAATAGCTGTTTAATAAATCTGGCTTCTACTGGAAAGAGAAGCAGCATTTCGGTAGCCAGCTTCTCCTCAGGATGTTCATTTGTCTGGATAAATAGTATTATTTAAGAACACTTATGAATACGATTTTCACATATGCTACTAAAAGTGTCTTTTGCTATTTGTGTGTGTACTGTGGATGAATGACTTTAAAAGAGTCATTCAAATATCACAAATGGAATTTTTTTTGTTTTTTTTAAAAGAAAAAAAATACAATGAAGTAAATCCAGATTAAGTTGGAGGTGGTAATGTGAATTGCCATTTTGATGCCAACAGAGTTGTGTGGATGCTGCAAAAAACATGATGAACAACATTTTTCACAAGAAGTACCTGCCTGAAATTACCCTTGGATGATTCAGAATTGGCCTCAGAAGCTAAAGTAAAGCATAATTTCTGAGAGTCTTTGACATGGATTTTCACAGGTTTTGCTTCAGTTACAAGAATGATTGCACTGTGATTAATACTGAAAGATTAATGAGGCAATTTCAGCTCAGTTCATTCACTTGGCTTTTCAAGGCTGAAAAACGAATAAAATATTATAAATTAACATCTGCTTTTTCTTGTCTCTGAAGAAGTCATTTTGTACAAAGTGCCTGACCACTGTGGATTGACTAAACATTGATTATATAACCTTTCCTGAGCCTCTGGAGTGGCTTTTCATGAGGTGGAGGCATCGTTCGAAATTCGCCAGGTGCATTTTCCACCTGGTTATTGGCCACTTGCAACCAAGTGAACTGCCTGGGCACCAGGATGGTGCTTGATATCTCCACCATCTGGAGGTGCATGCCTGGAGATCCTTGGATCTTGACTGTTTTCACACACTAGCAACAGATTCTGTAGAATTCTATCCATTATATTTTATCTGCACAATCAGAATGGATTTCAGGAACCAAAAAATTGTTTTGGAAGAAAAAAAGATTTTTGAGCCCTCAAATGGCAACTAGGCATTCTGTTTTGGCAACTATAACTCTGGTTTAAGGAGCCAATTGGTGCTGAGCTTATATTTCTGAGTTTCTAACATTGGTTGGAGGGGATTGCAACCTGCAAACCATGCATCACACAATAGCAGGTCTATAATAGCAGCAGTAGGAAAGTATTAAAAAAAAATTGAATTGATCTGTTTTATGTAACAGGTAAGTAAGAGCAATGCATTCATATAATTATCTCTACTGAACAGTTAAGAACATCCATGATTTTATCATTAACCCCAATGAAAATTATTGATATATTAATTTAAAGCAACACTTCCCATATACTAAGTGCTAATGAAGAGGTATTATATGAAACAAGTGGATGAAACCATAATAGCTGCCTTGCATCAATCAATATTGGCCGTACTTGGGGCTTAAATCATGCTTCAACCTCTTATGAGCTATTAATGTATTTCCACTGATTGACACTGGACTCACTGATTGCCTTGGTGAGGAGAACAAGAGCAGGATGAGAGGGCATTAGCAATACTCGCTCACTCCTGTTATAGCAAGCTGCTGGAAGGAGGAGGGCAGCACTGAACTCCAGGCACCTCTTCTGATATCCACTCCATTGAGTCAAAGTTGACGATTGTGATGTGATGGTCCTCAACAAGAGTGATCCTGAAGGGGGAGCCACCAATGGGTACCACACTTTGTGTCACTTGTCAGGATTGCCATGTCAGTGAGGCTGCTGCCCCCCTACTTTGGCTGTTGTTAGATTAAATGGGTTAGGCAGTTGTCACTGCAGGTATAGGCGGGTGATGCTCAGGGTGACAGCAGGGGCCTCCCAATTTTTGTTTGTGGTGGGAGGTGACTGTGAACCATGACTTAAGAGTGTATAACCCCAAGTGAGAGATGGGGGTTGAGTGGCTATGAGAGAAGGCGAGAGGAGTTCGCGAGGGAATGGATTGATGGGTGAATAAGTGACCGTGCTGTACTGAGTATGTGAAAGACTCTGGGGTGTTTTATTGCATTGCTCCTATCCTGTCTGCAAGGCCAATTCAAGAGAGCAGCATTAAGTTACTGTTCCTTACCCACTGGCAATTATGCTGTGGGGTTCTGCAAGGCACCGTCTTATATACATCTTATATACAGTCATACCTCGGGTTTACAGCCACTTCAGGTTGTGTTTTTTTGGGTTGCGGACCACCAAAACCCGGAAGTACCAGAATGGGTTATTTCCGGGTTTTGGCGGTTGCACATGCGCAGAAGCGTCGAATCGCAACCCATGCGTGCGCAGACGCAAGTTGCGAATGCTGTGGGTTGTGAACGTGCATCCCATACGGATCACGTTCGCAACCCGAGCGTCCACTGTATAACATATTTATGAGGCAATTGGGATTGGTCCTTTGCCATAGATAAGTATTGATAAATTGCCTATTCAGTATTGGTTTACTGTCTTCCACCTATATAATACCAGGGTGGATTTGATTTAAATCACTAGTCATTTATTTATTTTTACAGAAAGACTCATTCTTGCTGGTATAATCTTAATATTTTCAACCAGATGGTTTCATTTTTGGAATAATACATTTTCAGAGTAGTTTTTACAGTTCTATCAAAAATTACTGATTTGGTTATACTATTAGAAATACATAGACAGATAATCATGAAATTATTGTGAGGTTTAATAAGTTAATTGTTTATATTTGGACAACTTTTCTGCTGTACTTTATTGGAAGGAGAAAAATAATCTTTTCCTTAATAACAATTTAAACAATTTATTTAACTAAAACAATAACATTGTTAACTGATGTGGCTAAACAATTAAAAAGAAACAAAAAACTTAGACTTAGTTTTAGCACACATGAAAAATTTAAAACAAATCCTTATTTCATGATGAATACCCTTTGGACTATAATGTAACTTAAATAGAAAACTATCTTTAGAAAGATTTTTCCTCCAGAAGCATTTTATTTTAAAAATCCAATTTAAATTTTTAAAAATCTGATTTAAATAAAAAACAACTGTTTTTTTTATTTTTATTTTTTAAAATTGTTGATTTTTATCCACCCTGTTTAATACCAAATTACACTTAGACATAGATGTTTATAATACCATCAGCAAAATAAAATAATCTAGACTGGTTTATCACATTTCTCTCTGTCCATCTTCCCTCACTGGACATTTTCTTACATTTATACCCACCTTTCTTCTATAAATGTGGCATTAATGTGGTTTCTAAGAGGTATCCTATACAGACACTGACCAGACACATATCTACTTCGCTTCAGCAAGATGATAGCCTCATCTGCATTCAGACCATACCCTGGAACTAGCTATTTGTTCCCTACCTTTTACGTGTGGAAGGGATTGATCGTATATTTGGTGATAAACTACTTCAAACATTTGGGTGATAAAGTAAAACATATTCTTTCATATTGCATTGTTAAAATACGCTACGCCAAATACAACCAAATATATCTGTAGTTTAAATCTCTTTTGGTCTGTGATGCTCTCATGCTCTAACGTAAGAGATTTTTCCAGCCTTATCTTGAAGGAAAGCTTTTTGCAAAGAACTGTAATTTAATTCAGCAATATAACTATTGCAGTTTATATTGCTTACGTGAATTTCCAGGAATATTGTTTCTGAAATCTTGTTATAGAAACCATGTATAGGCAATTTATAGGCAAAATTGGCGAGAACCCAAGTATCCACATGGTACTAGATGCAAAAGAAATAAAGGTTTAGATCTAGAATATCTTTATTCTAATATATGTTTTTCACCTCTACATCTAGTAGAAGGGCAGTAATGGGGGGAGGGAATAAAAATAAAATTAATGGACCAATGATAACCTGTGTGTATTTTAAACTGGAATTCATGGGGGGCTCAGGAAAGCCTAATTTATTTTATGAAGTAAAATACTGTATTGCAGAGAGCTGATAATCTATTAAATGTACTACTATGCCAATAGTCTGGTCAAATACACATTGTGACTAAAACAGATGTACTGTATTGCTAAATGGTTAGCCATGCATAGTATATCGTAGCAAAAACAAAAGAGTCTGTTGGCACCTTAAAGATGGGCAGATACGTACAGCAATCCAAACTGAAGGGAGAGCTAGTAGCAAAGTGATGGATGATCCATTATCCCCAGCATGTGATGGTTAATACAGAAGATGGAAGCCCTCCTCCTTCTCTGGCAGTTCTTTATACAGTGGTACCTCGGGTTACAGACACTTAAGGTTACAGACTCCACTAACCCAGAAATAGTACCTTGGGTTAAGAACTTTGTTTCAGGATGAGAACAGAAATTGTGTGGCGGCGGCGCAGCAGCAGCGGGAAGCCCCATTAGCTAAAGAGGTACCTCAGGTTTCAGGTTAAGAATGGACCTCCAGAACAAATTAAGTTCTTAACCCGAGGTACCACTGTACATTTTTTTAATCCCCCCAATGGTTTCCATGGAAGGGAATAAACTATGTAAGATGTAGCTGTAAAACACTGCCAGTGGCAGATCTATGACCATGGAGTGTGGATGTAAGTGCAGTGGCAGAGAGGCACTTTCCCTCTGTCTTAATCTCCTCCAGCTAGCAAATGCAAGGAATTCAAATTTCTCTCTTGACATATTTATTGTGTGGCATGACCTTTTGTGGGCTAGAGTCCACTTTATCAGATGCTTGAATAGCTTTACTCATGGTGACATCTATATGTATATATACAGGGTGAGTCTTTTAAAAGAGGACCCATGGAACATGTGTACTCTGTATCCACGGGGCCTCTTTTAAAGGACTCACCCTGTGTATTAGTGTAGAAAAGCTGCCTGGGCATTAAGCAGTAATGGTGATAGTGATGATTAATAATAATAATAATAGAAGAGATGCAAAACGTGAGGCCAAGAGGCAATGAAATGCAAGTATAGTCTGGTGTTTCTATGTCAAACTCACACAAGCATCCTGTATAAAGCTCTTTTATACATTTCATCTTTTGATGGAATATCACAGACTGCACTTCCTGTATTTCATAGTCGTTTGAGTTGAAGGTACACAGCTGTCCCCTTCCCTGCCCTGCCCATGTATAAATTATATATCATGATGCAACTCACTACACAAAGAATCCACCTAAAAGGAATAGATTTAGATGCATAAAAATATCAATGGAAAACAGTAATCTAAGGAAGGGATGGTGCATTCTTACTTAAATTACACTTTTTCAGTTTAACTTAATTGTTGGGATTTTTTTTTTTTATGTGTTGGATATTGTAGCACATTTGCTTTAGCTCATTTCCACTCTTCCCTTTTTCCCCTTTGGACCATATTGTAATCCATTATAATCCCCTGATTAGGAATACATATAAAAAGAAACAGAGAGCTCATCTCTTACTGTTGCATTAATTTGGCGGTTCTGCCTCACCCACACTTGAGCTTTTGTAGCTTTTCCCCCCAAATATTTGGAAGCTGTAAAGAACAAATGTGTTCATAACTGCCCCTGATGATGTGATTGTTTATGTTGGTATTTGAAATCTGGTATTTGAAAGCTGGTATTTGAAAAGTTTAAAAGCTTTGATTGTAAAAACCTATCAATGTAACATTGTGAATGTAGTAAATATTTTTCACCAGGTACTTATTAGATGCAAAACTCAGCATGCATCCTTTCTAACTAGACGTGAATAGGATGCATGCTGAGTTTTGCATCTAATAAGTATCTGAATTGAATGGGGTTTATTCCCAGGTAGGCGAGTGTTAGAGTTATTTGAGTGAAATTTTCCAATCTGGACCTTGTGCAGAGTAGGAATGAAAAAACTCCACTACAACAATGAGTTCCAAAAACTTTTACTGCAAAACTATTTTGTAGCTCTAAACAAACTAGACATTCAGTGTGTTGGTGAGGGGGAGTTATTGGGTTATTTTTGTTTTTATTATGTATTTGTCTTTCTATATTGCGCTTTTATGTTGTAACTACCCTGAGTTCTGCAGATGAAGGGTGGTATATAAATTTGATTTAATCATCATCATCATCTTTTCAGGTTCTCAATCACCTGCATAAAAAACTGCGGAACATATCAAAGAAGTCAGAAGCATCCAAAAAGAAGGTAAATAAATAGCTTTCCTTTACCAAACTATATTAGTAAATTTAGAAAGAAAATGTGATGATTCAGTATTTTGTGACAGATACCAGCACATTTCAGGAACCAGCAGATCTTACTAAATAATCTAATAAATATTTAGGACTATGGAAAAGAAATCATTTTTTAACATACCCCCTCCCCATTTTTATTTATTTAATGCAGATATACCAGTGATTTTATCTATTCTAACAAATCAAGGCCAATGAGCAATCATACAATAAAACAATATTTCCTGTGCAGGTGGAAATGGCCTCCTTGTATTCTTTGCCTTATCTCGGGAAAGACTTCCCATGCAATGAGGAACAGGCAGTCTTACTGTAGCAGCCTTGACCTAATTGACCGTGGTCCCTCATTCGTCCCGCACTTGCCTTGTGCTGTTTTTGTACATTTATACTATGTATGCACAAAGAACAAAGCCAAAATAATTAAAGGGCCGGAAACATAATGATGGCAGAACAGGAAAGCCACACTAGCAATACTTGTGCATTTAAACCCTCCACACAAATAAAAGCATGAAGGGGAAAAGAGCGAGAATGAGAATGCTAGCTCTGCTACCAGTCCACTCCCTCTGTTAGCTGGATGGCTAAATAGCTGCATTAGGCAGTCTTCTCTATTTGTGTTATGCATGGCTCTAAATTGCATGGGAGGTCTGTACAAGTGCAGAAGGAGGATACAGTGGAGGAGGGGCCAATAGGCTAATCTTAGCTTTCCCTTCGCATACTTCTAATTGCATGAGGGATAAATAACTGAAGAGGGTTTTGCTCATAAGTAGATCTGCTTCTGCAGTTATCAGGTCAGGTAGATGCTTTTGCAGATCGATGCTTAAGAGTACAAGCCTATGCAGGTCTACTCAGAAGGAAGAAATACGCTTCAATGGGACTTGTTCCTGGAGTGTATATGATTGCAGCCACTTGAAACAGAAGGCTGCACTGCTCTTCAGGGAGCCAAATAGCTGTGGGTTAAACCACAGAGCCTAGGACTTGCCGATCAGAAGGATGGCAGTTGGAATCCCCGCGACGGGGTGTGCTCCCGTTGCTCGGTCCCTGCTCCTGCCAACCTAGCAGTTCGAAACCACATCAAAGTGCAAGTAGATAAATAGGTACTGCTCTGGCGGGAAGGTAAACGGCGTTTCCGTGCACTGCTCTGGTTGGCCAGAAGCAGCTTAGTCATGCTGGCCACATGACCCGGAAGCTGTACGCCGGCTCCCTCGGCCAGTAAAGTGAGATGAGCACCGCAACCCCAGTCGGTCACAACTGGACCTAATGGGCAGGGGTCCCTTTACCTTTACCTTAAGCATCCTAATAAGTTATGTTGAGTAGTAGGCAGACAGTCTACTCACAGGCACACCATCTACTCATGAGTAAATGACATAGCTTAGCAACTTGAGTCACTTTGAAGTGAGATAAGTATGTTTAATTTTTTAATTGGATTTTCAAACATATAAGAACAAAAAAAAGGAACATCGTGTATTTATGTTGCACATACAACATAAATAAGACGTTAGAAATGCATTTCATTTTTTTTGGCCATTATTATATTTCATGTACTTTGATTTTCTAAGGAGAATACCTAAGACATAAATAAATAAAGAAGAGCTATCTTGTATGTCTCCTTGGCTGCACATTATACCAATAATGTCACAAAGGCTTCTGAGATATAATGGAATAAGATGTAGCAAGGGATTTTCAGGCCATTATGTAAAATGACTCTAGCCAAAGGAACCATCTGTTATAAATATGACAGATTTAAGAGGTAGAGGGTCAAATCCTGCCAACAGTTACGTCTGAGGTTACTTGAGCATAACATAATGAGCTTCATATTTTTTATCAAACAAGGGCAAATGAAGCATACTTGTTAGATAATGATATATGACAGGAGCTATAATTTGTTTTAGTCAGATTCAAGGACAGAAGGATTTGGTTTTTTATGTTAACATAAAGTGATATAAACTCCCCCCCCACCTCTCATTGAAAATATGTATGACAAATGTAGTATTTCAGATTTTGATTAAGATTTTTTTTCTTACCATTTATATCAAGACAGACAGCCAGAATTTTGTCCCAAATAAGTCATTTATTTCATGTGCCATGGAAAATCAACTGGTTGCTGTGTCACACAACAGCTGTATTTTGGGCATATTGTTATCTTACTATCACAATATATAACAGCAGTGATCTCAGTTCTCTGAGTGCATGTGCTTATGTAGACCAAACAACACCATCAATATGCAAAAAGACATGGGGGTGGGTGGGGGAGATGGAAAATCGGGGTGGGAGAGGGAATGAAATGAAGTGTCTGAGATATTGAACATTAGAAATACACATTGCACTTTTTTCTGATCACAGATGTCCCCCTGTTTATGATGCTTAGGCAAAATGGCACCTCTCAGACATCTTGATATTAGCTGCCTTGGAGAGATCTCAAGATATGCAGAAGTAAAAAAAAATTTTTTGAAGGAAAATCTAAGTGCTTGTATGGCCCGAGTCTCATTTGTTTAATTCCCGTAAGCTACTTTTTGGAAACTTGAATAACATCTGTCAACGTTTACTGTACCTCTCCCCCTTTTCATTGCTTTTCAAGCCTATATTGTAAGTCTGCTTGTTCAGTTGTTAAGAAATAATCCACACTTTAACTTTTCTGTCTCAGACAGCACAAACAGTCCTGGTGGTCGTAGTGGTTTTTGGGATATCCTGGCTGCCCCATCATGTTGTACATCTCTGGGCTGAATTTGGAGATTTCCCACTGACTCAAGCCTCGTTTATCTTCAGAGTGGCAGCGCATTGCCTGGCTTATAGCAATTCTTCTGTGAATCCTATTGTATATGCATTCCTCTCTGAGAATTTTAGGAAGGCCTATAAGCAAGTGTTCAAATGTCACATTGGTAGCAAATCACCTCTGAATGAAGGTAAAGAAAATCATATTGACACACCACCATCTACTAATTCAACACATGTGTGAACAACACTAATAATGTCTTTATTTGCAATGACAGGTTTTCATATACGTAGACCTACTTCAGATAAAAAGCACAAGTGCTCCAAAACTTTATGTTGGCAATTGGTAGTCAGCTTATTGAAGTTCTGTTTGTAATAACAGCTTCTGGAGGAAAAGGTTTGATGCGAGAAAATCTGGGTTCATATGGAAAGCACTCTAATATTCTTTTTCTGGAATGCTTTTCAAATGAAGAGTATCTTAGTTATTTTAAAATTATGCCAGAAAAGTAAATCAGAAACCTGCTATACATTTAGAAGGGTGTTTATTTCTACCTATTATAATGTTTTGCTCATATACAAACAAATGCATTTTTTAAAAAATCACTAAAGCTGCAATCCTAACTGTACTTACCTAGGAGTAAGCTCCGTTGAATGTGGTAGGACTTAATTTTGAGTGGTCATGGTTAGAATTACACCATAAACTATTATTTCTCAAAATGTGACCTTTTGCAAGGAAATAGGATACAAATCTCAGGCACCTGAGGATAAAAGTGAAATGTGCTTCAAAGCTTATCTGTCCAAACTGTGCAGTAGGTCCATGTAATTTATACCACATTTACACAATCAGCCAGAGATTGTCCAGTGTAAGATTACTGCCCACTTAGAACAGCTGCTTCACAAATGGAATATATTGTGGTGTTTAGATGTTCATGGTTAATAAAGCCAGATTTGCTGCTCAGCTTTCTGTATATGAAAACCTGCATAGGATTCCCTGGTGTGTAGATAATGAAAGAATATCAGGCAGACAGAATCTAGTTTCCAAATTTTGTCAGGTGCTTCCTATGGAAATAGCCATAATGGCGGCAAATTTCAGATACCCCTTCTCATGCTACTCTGGCTATTAAGAATCTAACAAATGAGAATCCACATTTTGATACAGGGAGTTGGTTCGTATGTAATGCTAAGACAAACTGTGGCTTGGCATGAACACAGGTTCACACTTGACTTAGCATGTTGTTCAAATCCCGGCTCATGGCTTGTCTTACTCCAGGCAAACCTTGAGCTGTAACTATGATATGTTCTTAGGTAACAGCTCATGTTTTGTCTGGAGAAGACAAACCACAAGCCTGGGTTCAAACAGCACACTAAGTCAAAGAATGGCTTAGCAGTGTGATTGCTGGGGGAGGAATGCAGGATCCACAGTTCCCTCTCTAGTAATCCTCACATTTACGCTAATTAATCGTTTGGTTAAGCATTACATGTGAACCTGCTGTATATGCATTTCTATATCAAGATACAATATTGATAGTATTAGTCACAACACCCGATGGAAGCTGAACGCTACTATTTCTTCACTGATAACTCTAGATTGTTAATGAAAATTTTAAATTAAAATTGAATTCCAATAACTTTTTCAGCTGTTTATGAAATGTGAAATCTAATTTCATGCACAGAAGCAAATTTAATTATTTACTAACTGTATACCCAACTTTTTGGTTTGGGTCAAAGGTAACAACTTGTGGTTTATGAGTAAAGTATAATTCTTCTTCATATCTTTTGCTGTTTGCACAAACTGTACAACATAAATACAAAATACAGTAGGTGAATTTGGATTAGTAGCTGTAATAGTGATTGAGGTGAAAGCCATCATAGGCCATGGTGAACTGTCTTTTCTTTAGCATGATGATTACTTTTTTCCTTTTATTAGTATGATGGCTTTAAGTACTCTGACTTCTTAGAAAAAAGGACAAGATCACACTTCATCTCTGCCAGGCTCAAATCAGTTTTCTTAATAGTTTTGAGTTGCAAAGCTATAAAGCCAATTAGAATCAACATATTTAATTTGGAACCTGCTCTTAACAATACTGTTCTTCCCCCAAGTGTACTCCACATACCCAGAATGAATACATTAAAAAAATCTGAACTCCTTGAAAAAAACCTTGTTTTGGAGAGCCATGGAAAGTCCATGGAAATTTTGCCCAATCTTCTACACACAATTGGTTCCAGTGATGCTGCTAATTGAAGCAGTTCACTCAAACTACAAGCCCAATGCATTTATTCAGTCACCTCTAGTTCTCGATCACATTTTTCTTATAATGTTGCCCCATTTTTGCTCCCAGCTCTGTATTTGGAGGGATTCGACTGCCACTCAAATCTTAGGGGAAAAGTTGACTGATGCTTTGGAGAGCCTCCTGCTTCCTGCCTTCCTCAAAATTAGCCAAAGCATGCCTGCCAATAGCTTTTTAAAAAACCAGCAGCTAAATGGGCTATCACAAATGTCACCTCCCTTTTCCCTATAATTCAAGCACTGAATGTGACAGCAATGAAGAAAATTGAACAGTGCTTCCTGAGTGACTTGACATTTTGTTCTGTAGGATTATTATTGTTATTTTTTTTATTAGCTAATTAAGAGTGTGTCTTGCATTTAATAGTTTACTTGCAGCCTACTCCCAGAAGATCCTTCATCCTTTATGGTGCTATATGAACTGTTTGAGGCTTATGCAAGGGGCTTACTGCGACTAGTTTAATTTTCTTAAAACCCTCCAGAAGGACACAAACCACTTCACAAACGGCTTCAACACTGTTCAGTTTGCCATGTGACATTGGTGAGATGGGATTGTGTCAATTATATAAAATAAGATTATTTGGGGGCTCATTGAATTAATTACAAAGTTGTTTGTATCATAACCTTCCTATATATATATTTACAAATTGACAAAAACACCTATGAAAGCATAAAACATGGGCCTTCTTATGGGCAAACGTGCATAAGAGAAATGGAAATCTTTGACAACAACATGATAACCACATTGCACTGAAATCTGAATATTTAAATAATGGGAGCTATCCTACTGAATATATTCATTTTTAAGTAGGATGAGAGTCATGAAGCCATGATTTGATATAACGGTTTAATTTGGCGTCTACCAGCCTTTCTGGTTGCAATTGTGTTTTATAGAGGCACAGGGCACATCTTTTTACATTCCATGGTCTGCGAAACAGAATAATGGTTGTCCTGTGAAACCCTATCAAGTCATGGAACACTTTCTTTAACATATGCAATTGCTTAGACTGAGTATGAAGGCTCAGGTCAGTTTTGTGGGACTGAAGGTTTGAGTGTGTGGGCTTGCAACCCTTTGAACACTGTGCCACTTGTCCACTCCAACTACCATACCATCATCACTGTTTTGAATGTAGCGTACAATATGTTCCAGAAGATTTGGAGTGATGGTGATGGATTGGCCAAAATATGAACTGCAGCAGGGACAGTTCCAAAACTGTAAGCATAGCACTAATGTTTGCACATCAGTTTCATGCACTTTACTTTTACTGTTACTTATACACAGACTACACAGAGAAACCTCTTAAGATTCTTGTGCAGGGTTATATGCTGCCTTTTTCAATAAGAAAAGACCACTCATTATTACCAATTCACTGATGCATTCAGCTGCAAGAGCTTAGTGTTGTTAGCCCATGTAAAATAATAATAACGAATAGGCCAAATGAATTTTCATAATCCTCAATTGGATTAAGAAGTTTCTGAGTGATGAGTGATGCAGCATGAATGTCATCTGAAGATTTTTATTCACTCATTCATTAATAATTCACAGCACAATAAAAAAAATATATATTCTGAAAGCTTTTCTTATGTAAGACTTTAATTGAAGTGAACTACTGTCTGTCAATATTGGAAATGAAGTGTGAACAGAACTGGCTGGAATTTTAATAGACAAGTAGATTTCCAGAAAAAAGGTATTTTTTCCAGGGCTAGGAAAGCATAACTGAAAGGCAAATCTACCTTCAATTTTTGCACAAGCTTAGTATTTTGGTTGTTCAAAGCAGTAATGCAGTCTCCTGTGTATTTTAGTCATTAAGGAATGACCATTATGTCACAACTAGGTTACATTATGTGTCCATTAGCTGCAACTATGGTAGCACTGAGCACATATGCCTGTTCCATCATCACAAGACGTAGACAGGAAATTTGGCCTGGGGAAGCATCCAAAACAAAGTCATGTCAAAAGACTTATGTCATAATTCTGTGCATGCTTATGGGGAAGTTCAATTGGGCTTACTCCTAGCCAGGTGTACATAGAACTGTAGCTTGAGTCTGGAACCCAAAGCAGGGAGGGAGGGAGTAAGCTCCATTAAATACAGTGGAGCTTTCTTCAACTCCAAGGATTGCATAGACCTCAGTAAAGACTAATAATAATAATAATAATAATAATAATAATAATAATAATAATTTTTTATTTATACCCCGCCCTCCCCAGCCAAGACCAGGCTCAGGGCGGCTAACAACCAATAATAAAAAAAGTTGATTAAAATACAATTTAAAATATTAAGATACAACATTAAAACATTAGGATGCAGCCTCTTCACAGGAGGAGAAAGGAAAAAGAAAGAGGGGGAGGGGGAGGGAATCTAACTGATTCTAAGCCAAAGGCCAGGTGGAACAACTCTGTCTTACATTAGATCAGGGAGAATGACTGTCTCTATAGTCTCATTATCAACTCAATTATTATTTTTATAGGAGGAAAGCAGCCCAGGAAGAGCTGCCATTTTCTACTAATCATAGTTACCTGTATGTATTTGTAGAACAGGGTTTCCCACACTTGGGTCTCTAGCTGTTTTTGGACTACAGTTCCCATCATCCCTGACCACTTGTCCTGCTAGCTAGGGATGATGGGAGTTGTAGTCCAAAAACAGCTGGAGACCCAAGTGTGGGAAACCCTGTTATAGAATGAGGTAAGAAATGATATATCAGGGTTGGCATTGGTACCTTGTGTCTTTGGGCAGCTGCCCAGGGTCTAGCAGCCTGGCAAGGCTGACTGTTGGTGCCTGACCCCTCTTTAAGTCTAGCCACCATTTTAATTTCCCACAGGGTCTATGACGTAGCTTTGTATTGCGGTAGATATTCTGCTGTGAGATATTCTCCCGGGCCTTTTCAAATCTGTGGCCAGCCTGCACTGATTTGGGTGAGGGGGGCTGTTTCTTTTCTAATGCCATTTTGGGATTAGTTCTCCAGTGCACAGATCCTCACATGCAGCAACAAGCTGGATGCATCCGTACAAAATAATCTCTGCGCAATCACCTGTGGAATAGATTATGGATGTTGGCTTGTGGCGGCCATCATCCTTCATCATCTCGAGCCATTCAGGTGAAAGAAACAAATTGCTTTATGGCCATCATTCAGTTTTAGACAACTCTGAAATATTTATTTTCACACTTCTGCATCTGATAACCTGTACAAGGAAAATATTTCCAAGAAGCGATACAATAAATCGGTGAAAGGGGGAAGCATTATACATTAACTCTCATGCATGCAGCTTCCTCTTCCCTTTCCTCCCTCCAGCTGAAAGCCTAGCAAGGTACCTGGCCACTCCTTTGAATAGGTGTGGGTGGTTCTCGATGCTGACTTTTCATATGTAGATCTAACCATTCTACTCCTTGCCAGGGCTGTGTATGCAGTTAATGCTCCAGACTTCATCGTTATTACTGGGGTGGATCCGGACTAAATTAGTTGCACTTTGTTCCCATTGAGGATGGATTTAATCATGACTTGACTTAAACGGTTTGATTTCTGCGGGTCCCAATTTCAACTAACTTTAGCCTGCAATCCTAAATACACTTACCTGGGAGTAAGTACCAGTGAGCACAGTGGAAATTACTTTATGCCTTTGGAGTTATTATCTCCCAACCCAGTTTAATTCTTTTTAAAATTAATGAATGTTGCCATTTGTAAGAGATGCACTGTTGTCGTTTTTTAAAGTATTTCCACGAAGAACTATTACTTTAAATATATAACCAGAGTATGGGAAAATGAATGTACAGTTATAACCTTATGAATGTATTCATCATTTTATGATTTTATAGTTAACAGCTGCTCAAGACTCTGCTCTCTTTACATATTATTAAAACATATACATACATTTTCAATCAATGAAGTGGAAAGGATTTTCTAAGACTGCAATATTAATAGTGAGAGCAGGAAGTAAAACATGTAACTATATTTGCTACCTTGAAATAATGTTGAATGTATTTGACCTGTGTGAGTTTCAGGTTTTCAAATATGAATGTAACATTTGAATAATCTGTATTTCCACAGATAGTGTAACACAAAAGTTGCTTTATACTGTGTTTGCATCACATCATTATATTTATAATGCCATAAACCGTCTGAGTTTTTAATTTCCTTATCTGATGGGAGGCAATGCACCAAGCTCTGCTGCCAGGCAACTTTCTATTGACTTGAGTGTGGCCTCACAGATCCTTCAGTGAAGAGAAACCTCATTGTGCCATTTTACTGCTCTAAAATGTCTTTATATGTATAAACACTTACACAAAAATGCACGAATAGCAATTGCAGAGAACTGAAGCCAACGGTCCTACATCAATGATAAGCTGGTACAAATCAAAACAGATATTGGCCGTCACTCAACAGTTCAACATAAAGAACCTTATTTACAGAGGCAGATTAATCCAATTTGCATCACTAAGCACAGAAATCTGTTATTCAAAAAGAGCATCTGGGACTCTGAATGCTGCAGCTCAGGAGAGAGGAACCTCAGGTGGGGAGGGAGGGGAATGCAACTCTCCACACCTCTCTATGTAGCCCTTGGTATTCTTCTTACAGGTTCTGCTTTACATCCTCCTTGAGTAATAATAATAATAATAATATTTATACCCCAGCCAACTGGGTAGGTTTCCTCAGCCACTTTAGGCGGCTTCCAGCAGAATATAAAAACGTAATAAGTGGTTTTTGCCTGACCAAAATGTGTCCTTGAACTCTCTAAATGACTGTTTCTTGCTTTCTTAGAGGAGAGAGGAGTGCATGAGTGTGTGTAAAAACTAGTCTTCAATCAAAGGTGAAATGTATATTTTTACTTTAGAGGGACACACACAATTAGTATATGGGAAAACAAAATATACTTTAAAAAAAGGTATTCTACATGCACCAAAACAAAATAAAGCCTCTTCCCTTAAGATATATTAGGAGTGGGAGAAGGAGGTAGAAGACAATTGTGTACACAGTTCCCATGTGAGTTGGGGTCTTGGGAAGGAAGGGAGAAAAGTAATCTGCCACGAGGTGAGGGAGAGTGGACTTTCTCAGCTGAACGCATTGCCTCAGCAAAGAGAGAATAGCCACTACCTGTCTACCCTGGAGAAGGATGAAGATGCCATCATCCTAACTACAGCCAATCAGGCAGATGTACCACCCCACTGCCTTTTATTCATTTTCAGCTGCTGGGGTCTGCCAGTGCAGCAGCAGTGGTCCTGGAGGGGATAGTGACCCTCAGGGCTGTGGACCAGTGCCTTAGACCCCCAGAACCAAGCCTGACTTCAAATGAAGATCTGAATAAGTGGCCAAACTCCTATGTGATCATTTCTAACAGGATAAGGGTGTTGGGGAATGGATCAAAGTCCTTGCATTATGGTCCTGATTTGGTCTCTGCCCCCCAAAAAACTTCATTTGATCTTGAGAAGCAAAAGACATGCCTAGTCTCTAACATACTATTTAAGCAAACTACTAATGTAACATGTAGTTTTCCCATAAGACTGGGGGAACTCTAGAGAAAACCATGCCTTTTTTTTTTTTTTTTTACATTGGAATAAGAACCTAGGACTTCAGGGGCAGGACAGAAGTATTTCATGGCAAGATCCTATACATGTCCAGTCAAAATGAAGTCTTGTTGCATTCTGTGGTGCTTAGTTCCAGATATGTGGGTCTAAGATGCAGCCTGAAACAAGTCAACCTTCCACAAAAGCTATGAGCACTGTGTCAATGAACCACTAACTCTGCTTGCTAACGGCCAAGCTAGATTTGATGGGGAAGGGTCATGCATATTTCATTCAAGCATCTGCTCCAGTCACATTTATGCCAGGGTAGATGGATTCTTTTTTAAAAAAACACGTATGGAATGGAGCATGTGGGGAAAGGGAACATCTGAGTTTCCTTTGCTTCCAGTCCACTTCCAACAACAAAAGAGAGCTGGGTTGGGAAGAAAAAAATGCTTGAGACAAAACAGAGAGTAAAAGGATGCAGGGCTTCGCTCTCCTGACTTCCCTGTGCTTCATTTTATGCTAAAAAAATTAAAATAAAATCTCCGCTTTATATGTGAGCAAAGATATACATGAATAAAATACATGTGGCTGCATCATAACATTGGACATGAGAGAACTGGAAAGAAGCAGTGGGCGTTATGCATTCAGAGCATGTTTGGTTTTAGCTTTTAATACATTGTCAGAAAAAAGCTACTCTAATGTGCAAATGAGCACACAGTTAAGAAGAATGAAATGTTCTGTCACATGCATCCTCTTGGGGTCTTTCTTTAATTGAACCGCTTGCCTTTTCACCTCATTAAATGTCCAGCTATTTCTCATGTGCAGACATGGAACAGGAGTGAGAGAAAGAGGCATAATAACTTGCATTTTCCTGTGGTTTGAGGGCTCTGCCTTGCTTCATGAATCTTGATTGCTGGACTATTTAGAGTGTTACGAACAACCTAAGAATACTTCATTCTTTTCTGAGAAAGCATTATTTTGCTTTCTAAAAATAAAAGTGGGGAAAGCTTGCGGGAACCAAACCAATGTAAATGAGAGTGTTCCTATGTTCCTATGCTTGTATATTAATAGTAATGTTAATAAAAAAAACCCCTGTGACGGTACAATACATGGCTTGTTATCTTTCATTTGCTACAGTTGGGCTCCTTTTACAATGTCTGCATTTGTTGCACCAGTTTCCACGATGAGAATGTCTGGTTTTGTGCTTCACCTCATACATCACATTTGTTCATGCCATAAAAGGAGTACCGTACTTATTTGACTCTGGCACCTCAAGCCCATGTTACCCTAAAGCAGGGGTTGGCAAGGTTTACCTTGCCTGGGCCAGTTCACTCCAGTGGAGATCCCTCTGTGGGCCAGATTGCGCATGTGCATGAGTGCACCCACCCACGGTTTCCGGCATCTGCACATGTGCAGAGGCAATTTCCAGCACCGCGGAAGCGAGTCCCCGTGCTGCACTGCACTGGTTTAGCGCAGAGCACAGGGACTCACCAAGTGGGCGGCTTGGTTCGGAGGCAGCTCGGGGGCCGGTTAAACGACCCCCATGGGCCGCTTGTGGCCCATGAGTCTTAGGTTGCTGACCCCTGTCCTAAAGTAGTTTTCTTTGGGATTCCCTCCATCAGATTACCATGCACACACAGAGAGAAATAGGGGGAAATGGTGGAGGGTTTTTTTGTGGGGTTTTTTTGCTATTAGTATATTCCCACAACTATAAATAGCTCAGTACAGGAACACATGTAGTGGGCACTCAATACTCCAGTAAAGGTCAGCTGCATGGGGTGAAAGTGTAGTGACTTGCCGACCTACACAAACACCATAGCTGGCAGATGAAATCTAAGCCACCAGTGTGCAGTGCAGGCAGATGTGGCTGACCCACCCAGTGCTCATGTGTGGAGGTTAGCAATGGGACCCTGTGCAGTTGGGAGGTCCCAGAGTGAAGAAGAGAGCCAAGCAGAGCTAGGCAAAGGAGTGTGGGAGAGTCTTCTTAAGATACATCCATTGAGGGATGTGGGTATACATTGGATGTGTTGGAAGTGCAGCAGCAGGGATCATTCAGTTAGTAAGCCGAGAGTTAATTCTGTTGACAGTCTGCCAACCAAGGAGTGTGCTTGGAGGTGCTGCCTAGATTGCTGATGTACCTCAGGTTCTGATGGGCTGGCTTGTTCTGAGGGAGTTTCTACTCCATATGTTTAGTTGATTCTTCCTGCTTCGAACAAATAAATACGACAAAACCTCTCTGCTCTTTTCTCCTCAGCTATACACTGCCTTTCTTCAGTTTTCTTAGTCAAGTGCCATCAACACTTTTCTCTCTGGACTCCATCCACATAATTTAAGTGGATTGCTAACCACATGCACCTCATGTGTGGTCCTCTTATGGAATCACTCCCTTTCCCCCACTGGTCTGGCAAAAGCAACTGTGGACATAGTCTTTGCAATCTTCACAGTAGGACTCAAGTCAGGCACAATTAATACAACAGTGTTCTTTTTTGAAATTTCCCCCAGTATCCACACATCTTGTTTAGCAATAGAGGTGCCAGTCCAGGAGTGGGGCAAAACGTAATCGTAACCAGATATGCAGTACAGGATTTCCGCATTTTTATGAGCTAATTAAAAAATGGGGGCAGCGGAACAGCCCCGTAGACCATGTTTGCTCTTCATATTTGTAATTAGCTTATGGTGATACACCATTCACTGATACCTCCAGCTGGGTATTCAGGAAGTCTCACTGCTGCTGTATTATGTAGTCTGATAGATGAAATTTGGCAATTTGGTTGGAACACAGCCAAGTGCCACGTTGAGGAAACAGCCATGAAAACTCATATGACATGTTTCCTTTTTTAATGAGAAAATTCTATCAGTATCATAGCAGGAAATGGTGGAAAGCCCCCTTACACTGAGAAATTCTTTATGTAAGGAAGGTTCTTTTAGGTCAGTAATTTGAGCAGACGCAGTTAAATGCTGGGATATATTATGGAAACAGATAGTAAATGTTTCCTGAGTGTTCACAGTGAATGCCAAGGGCATTGAACACAGCCCCCTGTTCTTGTGCGCTTTTGTACTTTTGTTGTGAATTAAGGGCTAATAGGAGTGGAAAATTTGAGATAGGCCTTTTATCAGTGTGGTGAAAAATGATGGCATGAATGTAATATTAGGAGAATATTTGCTGTGGCTATATGATATGGGTGTTTACATGATATATTTAACAGCTTTCTTTATCTGTGGATGAACTATTATTAAGAAATTATCAGTAAAGTCTTTTGAGTATCTGTCAGTATACAAAAGAAACCTGCTTCTTACATCTTATGCTAGAGCAATAATATATTCACTGGGTGACCTTGGGCCTGTGCGTAAGTCCCTTTTGCGTACGCAGGTGTCCAGCGACCCACATCCAGTGGAGCTGTGGGCACGCTAATGCAGAGAACCAGCAAGAAGCGAGGCTGTGGAGGCATTTGGCATAGTGAAAGCTTCTTTATTTACAGCAAATCAAAACAACAATCATAGCTAGTGTGAGCAGCAGCTTCACACATGTCTGCTCTGTCCGAAAGTAGGTAACAACAACAACAACAAAAGTACAAAAGCGCACAAAAACAGAAGTACAGTGTCTG